CTTTCAGGCATTCTGCACAAAACAGCTTGGCAGGGCATCCTCCACGCCACGGCTCTCCAGCTCCTTGGGGGTGAACAAACGCACAGCAGGATGATACCAGTGGCCTTGGCTCTGTCTGATGCCATTGCTTCCAGCTGGTCCCTCTTGCCCTCACAAATCACATGCAAGTTAGCAGGCAAACTGGATCACAGTAAGGAAGCAGGGATCAAAGTTGGTGTGGACATTGAACAGAGATAAACACAGTTCCCTCGATTATCTGGCAGCTGCCTGGGACTAAGAGAAGCATCCTGATGCTGACAGAGGTTGGTAGTCAGGAGTCAATACAGGCAGGGACAAACAGAGCAGGCAAACATCAGGAGAGGTGTGAGTGTGTACCTGTATGATCCAGAGGGCCTGTGGTGGAAGACTGTCCCTGCCTGTTCATGAAGGATGTGTACTCTTCTCTCTGGCTGTGTGTTTGGTGGGGACCAGGAGAGCCTGGAGCCCTGGCTCCTGTGTGAGCTGCAGGGATGGATCTGGGCTGCTGCTGAAAACAGGGTGGAAATGAAGCATTGCCCCGGGTTGCAAATGGTCTTTGGGCAGGAATGTGCTGGGCTGCTCCTGGAGGCTGTGGCTGGTGGGAGAAGGAACACGCTTGAGGAGTGACTCCCATCTCTGCAACACTAGGGATTTCAAATCCCATATCTGTGCATGTACCTGTCCTGTACCCAGCACCTAACCTGGCAACGTCCGCACAAAATGCTCTGCGCCCAAACCGGGCCAGGTTGGCTACAGGTCTTCTAACACTGCACGGAGGAGCTGTTGCAGGACTGTGACTGTATGTGCACTGCTGGAAGAGTAACTGGCTACTGCATGTTATGGAGATGAGTGCGACATAAGGCAGAAAGTTTAAGCCTCTCTAGGAATCGTGCTGGGCTTTCTTCTGTCCCCTGTCCCCAGATGCACTGCTGCAGCCACTGATGACTTCGCAGGCTGAGTGAAGGTGACTGTGGTTGGACTCAGAGCTAAGGGAGAGATTCAGAAGGTGCTCCAAAAAACCTCAAATCTTGGTCACTGTATTGATGCAAAATTGCTGGATTTTGAACAATGTATTACAGTTTAAAGCCACAAGGACCTAATGTGGGTATGTTGAGAGTAGGGAGGGCTGAGAAAGGTAAAGGTGACAATGTTTTTCAGGAGGCGTGGAAACATTTTATTTCATATGAAGTGCTGTGCTACAATTTTGTTTAAATAAAATGGCCAAGTCTGTGAGAGGGTGGCGACTTCAGGGTACTTACAGCTTTTATCTTTTTAATTCTTGTTTGGTTTTCTGGTGGTTTTTTTTCCTACCACTAAACTATAAAGGGTGAGAGAGCGTGCGTTCCTACAGAACCCAGACTACATTTTCAAGGGGTAAATGGAAAAAACCAGTGAGCAGACCCACTTTAAAGGCCAGAGTGTAAATGCAGTCAAAGGTTGAGAATAGATACCACCTTCCGTGGCCCACGCTGAACCTTTCCCATAATAAATTGAAGCTGAAGGGATCCTGGATTCAAATGTCTCTCCTTCAGGTTGCCGCCCAGCTGGGCAAAAGTCAAAGCAACACACCCTGATCCCAACAGGCAAACAACACTCTGCTCAGCCCTGCTCCTCCCTCTGCCAAAGCATCTGAGGTGTGAGAGGTAGACAAGGCACGCTGATGTGCACTTTCTGAGGGATAGGAATTTAGTCAAAAGAGCCTCTTACGGGCAAAGCATTGCTGGTACCAGCAGTGCTAGGTCTATTTTTAATGATTTAGGAATGGAGAGTGCTTTCAGCATTAGATGGCTTTGGTAATACATAATTAATATAAGTGCATTTCTGTTGTTTGCAGAGATGGTAGGAAGGCCCTGGATAACTTTCGAGGCTGTAAAAGGAAAAAGAAGAGGTTGAATGAATCATAACACATTCAATCAGTGGAAATTAGGTAGGAGCTAAATGAAATTTGCTGAGAATAATTTATTCTGGTCAAAGCTGTGTGGTTGGGCTCTGTTTCTGAAGCTGGTCATGCTTCATGGTGCAGCAGAAGGAGCCTCCCTGCCACTGGATTTGATCTTCTGCCCTTAGGAGAATATTTTGCATGCTATAACCCTGAGCCTGATACATCTTCACGCTTAAAAAACCCACAAGGCTGTTCTCTGAAATTGTTTCAAATTAAAAAAACTCCAACAACTGGTTCCTCCTAACGTGGAGTGGGGGAATTTCCTTGAAACACATCCTCATCGTTCTTTATAAATAAAATTACCGCGAGTCATCATGAAGCAGGCATAAGCTGTGTCCTTCAGAAGGTGAGGAAACCTTGGAAAAGCGAATAAACTTTTTTTGCAGTGGAAGATCAGGTCCTAACCAAAGTTCCTCTATGTGAGCGACTTCCCGAGGTCCCCTTTATGATGTTGTAAAACTGCAAGTGTACACGCAGGAGGGCTCAGCCCCTCCGAGCAAACAGCCGAGTTCTTGCCCTGGAAAGCTTAAAGCCGAAGGCACGAGCGGAGTACAATGCGCTACAAGGCAGAGCAAACACGGCGGCGGCTTCATTTCTGCTGAGAGGACAAAAAGAATAAATATAGAGAAGGTGAGGAAAGCGAAGGGAAACTAAAAGGAGGGTTTATGTTTGAAATTTTGGGGGCTTTTTTGAGGGTGGGGGGGAGGATAAGGAGGAGGGGGGGAAGGTGAACTTTTACGAGGCGGCGAGGATGCTCGTGGCGGGACGCGGAGCCGGAAGGCCGCTGGCAGCCCGCACCGCCCCGCGGCGCGGCCGGCGCGGCGTGCAGAGCGGCCCCCGCGCTGCACGGAGCGGCGGGGGCCGTGGCTCGTTTCCCGTTGCCATGCGGGAGCACGGCGGCGAGGGGCGGCCCGCCGCCGCCGCGCTGCGCAGGAAGCAAGCGCCTCCCTGACAACAATCCCCCCGTGCCATATTGTGTGTCGCCGCCGACCCGCGCGGCTTCATGGACCGCGGTGAGTTGCCGCCCGCTCTGCCCCGCGCTCCCCTCCCGCCTACCCCCGCCACCGGCCTTCGTCCTCCCCCCACCCCCCCGCCTTTTTTTTTTTTTTTGGTTTAGTTTTCGGCTTTCCGCGTTTGGATGGGGTGGGTTTTTTTTTTTTGTTGTTTGTTCTGACGCTCGGGAGGTTCCGCTGGGGCGCAAGGGGAGCGCGCGCGAGCGCCGGGCGCGGTCCCCGCTTGGCTCTGGGGTTCGCGGGTGACCGCGTGTCCCCCGGAGCCCCGCTGCGGACAGCGCTGGATGGCGATGCGCGGGAGGGGATGCGTTGACACCCCCCTTCCCCTCCCCACGGCGGCCGCGGACCCGCCTCCCACACCCCCGCTCCCTGCCTCCTCCTCCCGGCGCGGCTCCGCGAGCTGTCCGCCCGCGGGATTTACCGTGACCCCCCCTCACAGCCCCTCTATTAGCCCCCGCTCTCCGGCAGGGCAGTCCCGCGCTCGTTGCGCGCTTCAGCGGCGGATGGAGAGCGGGGCCAGCCCGGCGCCGGGACCGGGAGCGCGGCCCCGACGTGCCCTCGCCTCCGGGTCGCCCCCATGAAACCCTCGCGGCGCTTCATTAAGTAAGTAGAACCCTTCTAAAAGCGATTATTCCGCCGCTGCCCGCCTGCCCCGAGCGCGCGGAAGCCCCCGTGGATGTGCAGAAGGTCTGTGGTTTGCAGAGGTGAGGGGGGAGTAGGGGAGGCGTTCCGGGGTTCCCGCGTTTTGGGTTGAAATCCAGGAAACGGCTGATGAGGTGCTCGAGGTGAGGTTGGGATCTGTCTGCACGTGGCCCTTAAGAGTTTTCCGTCTCTTTTGTTTTTTTTTCTTTTGGTGAAGTTGCGCAACGAGTTGGTGGCAGCAGAGGAGCAGCATCCCACTGCTCTCCCGCCTTATTCCGCCTTGGACACACCAACGTGCTTGGTTGCCCAGGTTCTATAGGAGCGGAGACTGGCTTTTGTCGGTAAAGGTTTGGATTCTGACAAGGCCCAAACAAAGAGTAAAGAGGACAAAGATTAAAAGCAGAAAATAAGGGGTAACCTTGAGGAGGGCCCAATAAACTCACATTCCTGCCCTGGTGCCTGCCTAGGGATGGATGCTGTATGCAAAATGTGAAGTTAAAAATGCTGAATTATGGTGGATTTCAATGCTGAGAAGGTAACTTGCTTAGCTTTGTGGCTAATGTATGAAATCAAGCTAACTTTATGTGTAATATACCATGTATATATATGTATATGTACTCTCCAAATCTTATCATTGGTGGACTTGCATTTAGACGGATTTAGTAATGATTGAGTAGTAATACAGTGACATGAGAATCATTTAACCTCTGTTGTGTTTCTTGGTTTGGAGTCCTTTTTTTGCCTCCTAGAAGTCTGGTGTTATGTTACATCTATGCAAGAACAATTAAGCTGACATTATATTAAGTCAGAAAACTTGAACTAGTTAGCAGGTTGTTGATTTTTGTTTTTTCTTGGCAGGTGCCAACTCACATTTCCCAAGCTCTGCAGAAGGTAGTTGGACACAACTCTGAACTGAAAGCTCAGAAGTAGCAATTAATGCAGCACACAGCTTGAGCTGATGAACTTAGCTGAGTGCCAGGATATGTTATCTCTGAGCTTGGCTGTGTGCTGCCACAGCACTGCAGCTTCTGCTGGGGGCTCACTTGTGTCCAGCTGTGCGACTTGACTTTTGTGGAAATACAGAGGGGATGGTAATTCCTACTTTGGATGTTTGAGTTGCCTGAAATACGTATCAGACTTTTCTGTGCTTTTAGTATTTTTTTTATTATCAAATGCTCCTGTAAAGTGAGCGGTGCCACTGTACACAGTGTCTACACCTGCAGAGTGTGGTGGAGACACTGCGTTGGCTGCCCTTCAGGTCCTGAGGGAAGCTGGAGGCACTGACCCTGTATCAATCCAGGCATGTGGCCCTGAGCACTCTCAGGGACCTTACTGAAATAAAACTTGGTTAATATCTTTGTTGGCAGCATCTAGACCAGAGGATGAAGTTGTGACCTGCTTTGGGTGCTGCCACTGAGGCTGTGCTGAAGGAGCTCCTCAGGGATTTTTCAGCCCAAAAGTAAGATTTTTTGTCTAAAAGGGACACCAGCCAAGGAGCGTGCTGCTTCAACAGCTCCAACGACCATGGGTTTTCTGCTTGAGAAGCCTTCCCATGTCCTCTGAGGAACTTGGGATTGATGGTACCAGCATTGACAGCAACTATCTGAGTGTCAGGACATGCCAGTCCAGTAAGTAATGGAGCAGGTACAGGGCTGTGTAATGGTCCCCTTGAATGAGAAGTGCTGCCTGGCAGTTGAGTGTAGTGCTTGACAAAGGCGACAGAGGCTTAGGGACATGTGAAGCTGATTTTTACCATCTTTATTAACCACAGGCTCTGTCCACTCAGTGCAATAGACTTGAAAACCTGACATGTTGAGCAAAAGCAAACTTTTTTGGTGAATGAGATGGTTTGGCATTTGAAGATGCTGTATATGGATATAGTTTAAACTGGTAAAAAGCCACACAGTTCTTGTGCAGAAATGTTAGTTCCCAGAAGAGCAGCTGAAGTTTTTATGTTGGTTTCACTGGGGTTGTAATTCCACCTTCTTCTCCTGCTGTTACTCCTTGACTGCTCATTGTTGGGGTTCAAAGGAGCTGGTATTTGAGAGGAAATACCCCAAGCACTCAGAAGACTTTTCCCATGTGCAGGTTCATGATACCTTATCAGAAGGAGCTGCACAGTGGGATTAGAGCCAGGGAGGTGGCAGGAAGTATGGGTGCTGGGAGGAGTGAGGGCGAGCCCACAGCCACCCTGCCATGCATCCCTTAAGGCTGTTCCCTGCAATGGGGTACTTTCACTGCACTACTGTGGTGCAAAACAACCTTTCCTGGCTGCAAATCAGTGAAAAGCAGCCTTTAGTCCCTGTAAGTAAAGTCTGTCAGCGATTTGGATGTGTGCTCACTACCTATTAGCACAGGTTTAACTTTGGTTTATTCCTTTTGGCTCCTTGAGTTTTCTTGCCGTGGCAGTTGCTGTTCCTCCCCTCCTGGTAAATGAATGTATTGTGTATAAGCTCGTCTGTAGGATGTCACTGCACTGATAGTAACTTTTTCTGAGGGAAGTAGATGAAGGCAGCGAGTGCCTCATCCCAGTGTGTGTGTTGCCACTCGACGACCGAAATGGTGTTGGGCAACTTCCTGCGCCGAGGCACCAGAGGCACCACTGTCAGCGGCACCGGTGACTCACGTCAGCACGCGGCTGTGCCTCAACAAGTGCACACTTGCGGGCTGCAAACCCTGTCCATGTCCCAGTGCAGTGCTGAGAGGTTCGGGGTGTCTCTTCCCGGATCCAGCGGCTGCCTTTTGCTCCTGCAGAAGACACCCACAAGTAAAACAAGAAAACCCTGAGATGCTGCTTCACTTTTTATCCGGCTGGACCCTTACGTGTGATACGTGTTTATTTGTTCCCTGTCACATTACGTGTCTTCTGACTTAGTGCATGCTGTGTGATGGTGAGCTCTCCATCCCATCCTCGCCACAGGGGGTAAAAGCATGCAGCGATGGTCCAGGGTACTTCCAAAATACAATTTCAGTCAGCAATTGGGAGGCAGCTCATTATTTGGTAATAAATTACATGGAAAGGAAGAAGTGCTGCCTGATGTCAGCCAGAGTCTTTATGACCCCTGGTGCTCTGCCTCTTCCCTGTAAAACCTTATGGCTGTGGAAGCACGAGGGTTGGGTCACTTTCCCATTTGGAGAGAACACTGCTGAGTGCTCAGGCCGAGTGCCTGCAGGCCTGCAACTGGGAAACCTGGATGTTGTGTCTGGGGCAGGAATACCCACCTTACCAAATGGTTGCTCAGGGGTACCAGGACCCTTTTAAGAGAAGCTTGGAATTTGCACAGGTAGGAATATTTATACCAAAAGTCAACAATGTGGATTTTTGACTTTTTTGTTTTTCCTATTGCATTCAGATTTTTTCCATTATGTTCAGACTAGACTTAGAGCTCCCTACTTTTTCCTCAAAGGTTAGGGAACATTAGGGACTCCACTAAATTGACTACTGGTGCTGCAGGAATCACCCTCCACCACTGCTCTTCTGCACACTCTGTAAGGATTAGATTATAATTTGGAAATGTTTTTACCCGGGTCCTGCTGGCAGAACATCCTAACGTGATTTACTCGGGTCAGTGGTGTATGTTGACTGCCTGGCAGGATGGTAGTTGTTGTCTGAGGTGGCTGTCACTGCTCCACTGAACTTGCTGATGGTATGGGTTTGAATGCAGCGGTGAGCTGAGATCAGGTCTGCACCCTCCAGCTGCGGTGCTTCTGGCTGTCTGCTGGCCTTCCCCTCTGGCCAGCAACAAGCCTGGTCTCTGCACTACAGTCACAGACCCCCACACCTCAGTATGCCTTTGAACAGCATGGTTGGGTCCCACCTTTGACTTTATCGGCGTGACCGCGTTCTCCATCTGCTGGGTGCTGGAAGGGTGGTGTGTGGGTGATGCTGCTCCATCCTTGTGGTACTTTGCTTATGCATCTGAGTGTCCCACCAGTGTGTCGTGCTATTTGCCATTGTGTTTTTATTGTGGGCTTCCTGACACGTGAGGGGATGTGTTGCCGAAGCCCATCTCCTGGAGCAGTGTATCTTGATGCCACGCTCAGGCCTCGTTTCTTCTCTCAAGTTGTTTTCAGTGCATTCCTATCTTGCAGTTTGTAGCTGCTTTTAGTTTCCTGATTTGAGTGTGGTCCCCTGCTTGCTTTCTTTTTACCACTCTCACTGGATTCCATTGTGCTTAAGTTTGGGGCAAGCACATGGTTGCCTAAAAGTTAATTACTGTATATGGAGAGAGCTCAGTGCCTGGAGAAGTTGCACCAAGTAGAGCTGAGTGAGTGGGAGTTGGGAAGCTTGCTGGCAAGGAGCAGCCACTCATCCCTCATCCTCTGCTCTGTGAGGACCATCACCAGACCGCTTATCAGCCAGTTTAGTTTTACTTTAGGGATGTTGAGCAGTCAAAAGTAGGACTTTTTTTTTTTTTAAAACAGCCAAGTTCGACTCTTGTGGAATAAAATTAAAAGCAAGTTGGCCGTGGGGGTCAGCATGGTGAAGAGCATCGCTTTGCCTTCCCTGGAGCTCTGGAGGAAAACTTTTGCTTTGAGAGTAGGAGCTGGGAAGCAGCAAGTGGTGAGAGCTCCACAATCACAGAGTTGGTACTGGCAGTGTGGCCGTGGCTTTGTGATACAGCTCTGATGTTGCTTTCAAATTAAATCTTGCAGAAGGGGCACTTGGGGCGAAGCTTCAAATTGTTGGTTTTTGGCTGAAAGTCAGGAGTTTTGGTACTTTAAAGCTGAAGAAGGGAGGAAAGCTGAATATAAAAGACAGTAGTATGTTTTCTAGCATTGGTAGATTGGCACTGACACCAGCTGAAATGTAGCTATATTCACTTCTGTTTCAAGAGGATGGTAGAGAAACACGTGGAAGGGTTACCCTGGAAAGGGAATTAGCATCAGAATTATTTTGCAAGGCATTTGCTCTAATGGCTCACTTGGGAACATATCAATGGCTTACATTTTTTTGCATGTTAGTCCATTTAGCAAGCACAGTACTGAATTTAAGGAACATGACCCGTAGGCATCTTTTGAAAAGCTCTTATTGGCAGTGAAGCATTTTTCTTAAAAGCACTTATTCCATCCCCACCCCCCTTTCTCTGACACCAAGGGTTTTTCTTAATAGTTTAGGTTTCACTGCTGGTTTGGTTTTTATATTTTTCATTTCCCTGTTTCTCTGTTAGGCTGTTTTCATGCGCGTGTTTTAAATCTGAGGCACACAGAACTAGGTCCAACAGTGACTGCAGCCTTTGGAAAGGCAACACGATTGCAAAGTCTCTGAAGGCAGTGATGGAATAAATGTCTCAGAGGCTCTGGGCTTTGCACAGGGTCTGGATTGGGGTCTGGGCATGTCAGAATTCATGTTATCATTTCTCTTTCAGATACTTGTTTTGAACACAAACCCGCTTGTGTGTGTATATGTGTACTTAATAAAAAAATAGAAAATTTTTTCGTATAGGTCAGATCAGACGAAATCTTTCTCTTGCTCCCTGCCCTTCCCTGGGCTATGATAAGGTTTTAATCCCTCCCCTTTTTAAATTTTGCAGCATTTCTCAGCTTTTCCTAATACTGGACCTTTTAATTGGTTTTAGTTACTTTCCCCCGCCCCTCTCCCCTTAATTATATCACAGGGTGCGGGAGAACACTGACATTAAAAGAGCATTAAAATGAGAGAGGCTTAGAAGTATTTCAGCAAATCCCTGGAAAACCTCTCTTCCCCTTTGAGCCTACCAATGCCAGGGTTAAAATGAAACCCCTGAGCTTATGGCTTGTGTGGTCCTTTAGTTGGTTGGGTTTGTTTTCAGGTTGGTTTTGAGAAGCCAGTAACTGCTTTTTTAATGCTTTTTAAAACAATTATTTCTAATTTTTCCCCGCTTTGCAAGCCAGGAGGAGCAGGAAGGGCCCTGCCTGTCGGAGGTGCTACCCCAGGGAGCATCTCTGGGTGCCCTTTGTCACCCCGGGGTGCAGCTGCCTGCGCGTCTCCTCTGCAGGCAGTGGGTCCCAGCTTGCTGAAATCTATGGCCCAGAGGTGATTTTGTCCTCAGGAGACTGTAATGCCTTTAGTTGTCTTGGATACGTGACATCATATAGTGTTGTAATCAAATATAGGCCTTTCTCAGGGCTGGGGGGGAGGATTTCAGCTGACCTGCAGCCCGATGAGCACGGGTGTGAGGTGTGCAGGGTATGGAGCAGGGCAGCCTGAGACAAAGAGATGAGTGGGGGGGAAAGGTTGAATTAATAGGGGGGAAAATGGGAGGAAATGGTCTGGTGTTGTGCTTTTAATGTTCCCAGTCAAGCAGATGTGGTGCTTTTTAGTGATTGGTTTTCATTAGTTGTGCCAGGATCTTTTTGTTTTGTTGCACTTCCCTCCAATATGCAGAGATTAGTAGCTGGTCCTGTTCTGTGTGCATGCCGACTTGGAAGTTTATGCCCAACTTGTGTAGGTGAGCAGTGACAGTCATTTATTTGTGTAATTCTTGGGCTGTTTCAATAACACAGTATGTACATTGATGCGTTTAAGTCAGGACAAGCCCTGGTGTCAATACCTTCTCATAAATGCAAGGGAATGTGAAAATCAAGAGAAGAGTTTGCTGTTGGTATAGGTGCTTGCATGCAAAAGCACCTACTGATCGTTTTAAAT